TTCCAGTTTGAAAAATAAAACTTTGAAAAAAAAAATCTTTTTAAAAAATACGTTTCTGGAAAATTTCAACACTAACAGTCTCGGCCGGCAGCTTAAACAAATAAACTTCACCTGCTCACCGCCCGCCTCGCGTTCTCGCGCACGTCGACCTCCTGCCCGGGGACGACGCGCTGCACGAATCCCTGCGCCTCCTCCGCGAAGTTGTCGACGAAGCGCTCGAGGAGCTCGACGTGGAAGGCGGGCTCGAGGGCGCGACGGTGCCGGCGCCACAGGTCGCCGTTGATCTGGAAGAGGCCGTACCGCGCCACGACCTGGACCAGGTCGTAGAAGAAGTGTGACTTGTCGGCCAGGTCCCGGCGCTTGGTGACGGCCTCGAGGTCGACGGGGTCCGTGACGAACACGTGCAGCTTATTGAGGATGGAGAAGCGGCTCAGGGTGCGACGGCCGCCCCACAGCGCCATGAGCGCCGGGAACACGCTGGCCTCGGTCAGGCCGACGAGGTCGAGAGCGTTGCCGAGGACGGGCAGGGACGGCGGCCCGGGGATGTCCAGCTCCAGTCTGCGGAACTTGTAGCAGGCGCGCAGGGCCCGCGCCACCAGCGCGGCCGCGGCCACCAGGGCGCCGCAGAGCAGGGCGGCCGTGATCGGCGTCATAGCGGCGTTGTGTGTCTGTTCCGGGCTCTCCTGCTGACCGACTGCGAGCAGACTGCTGGCGTGCTTGCAGCCCAACTGTCCCTCTGGACTAGGTAGAAAATTACCTCCAGGATTTGCATGCCCCCTCCCCCCTCCCCTTAAACACATCATCATCATCATCAGAAATTTGTCCCGAAACGTCTAGACGGTCTCTATATTCGCATAGCGTTACCGTTGCTGCCGCCGTCGTCCCTCCAACCGACATGGAAAAGTCACACGGCAATCTGGGTGCCGCGGTTAGAAGGCCCGCGGGCTCGTGCGGGAGTGCGCTGGGTGTCCCGCCTGGCGGGCGCGACCGCGACGCGCCGGAGGAGGCGTGGAGGCTCGGACATACACGTGCCTGCTTGCAGTTACCACGTCAAAGTAAGGGATCGATGCCGATGCTTGTGTCGGGTCGAGTAAGCTGCGTCCAGATATGTGCGCACGTACGGGTGTCCTGAGCTCGCCGCGAGCTCACTTGAAAAACATTTCCACCACCCCCCTCTCACCCTGTTTTAAGCGGTGTAGAAGACGGCATTAGTATTACTCTTACTGTCTTCTGATATTGTGCTTCGCAGAAAATAAAGTTTTCCAGTTTTTTGTTCGTGCTCAAGACAGAAGAAAGCCCTCTCGATATGCTGCGCCTTCCAGACCGCCTTTTAACCCAGTGCTCGTGGCTCATTTTTTTCTGGGTTCTTAACTGCAGGAGGTGGAGGACATCCCCGTCTCAAGCAGCTTTTCGGGTCAGTAGCACGTTATTGTTTCAGACACACTCTATTATCTCGTACCCGCAGTTTCTAGATATTGTCTGATGACATACACCTAAAAAAGGTTCCCTTGTGAGGTGAGCGAATAAGCGAACCCGCCCGCACCTGCGTCGCCTACTTTCTGGCGTCTTGACTAAAACTGAATAGACCTTTTTGTTGTCCTCGATCGAATTCCTGAATAGAGCAACCGTTTGCAGGCAGCAGTGACGTGATAAGTCAATCACAAATGTCGCAAAGCTGAGAGATCAGTAAAGTGATAACGCCCTGACGCGCAACTTCTATGGTCCGATCAATATAAGGATTCAGCCAGAGCAGCAGAGAAGTTGGTAAGCCTTCGAAGCAGGCAGTACGCTCCAAATGCACGCCATGGCCGCTGTACTCGCCGTGGCGCTCCTCTGCGCCGGCCCGCCCGGGGCGTTGTCCGCCGTGCCCGTCGTGGACGTGTCGCCCGCCCCCGAGGCCGCGAGCGCTGTGGCGCTGCTGGCCGCGTTCCTGGGGCCCCACAAGGCCGGCGTGATGGTGGTGAGCCGGGTGCGCTGGACGGACGACTTCCTGCGTGACCTGCCTCGGGAGACGCCCCGGGTGGTGCTGACGAGCATGTCGTATTTGACGGACATGGACAGGCTACTGGTGAGGTTGAGACTGAGCCACAACATCCTCATGGTCGTCGGGAACGAACCCGACGAGCTGACGGCGATGCTATCACGGGCGTTGCCCAGGATACAGCGAATCCTCTTCTGGGCCTCCGCCCGGCGCCCCGTGGCCGAAGTGCTCCGGAACACAACTTTTGTACACCACATCTCGCGAATCACAAACTGCGGTCACCAGAATGGACTCGTGATCTCCACCGTGGACGGCACAGCAGTCAGCTACGTAAACAAATGCACAGCGACGCGAGCCTTCCTGGAGGTGGATCGCTGGTCGCCGGCCGAGCACCGATGGCTGCGCGGGGCTGCCGTGTTCACCCAGTTCTGCGATCAGTGGCAGCCACCGCCCTCTCCCGCAGACCCCTTCACCTTAATCTCAGTTTCAAGACAACAAAATTCGCACCTGTTCAATGTTGGTGACTTCATGGAACAGCACGCCAAGAAGCCACGGAAGATAAAACGCGTTAATTTCTTGCTTCCAAACCAAACAAAAGCTGAATTTTCTAGCATGTGGGATCTAATGCTATCACAGCGCAGTCAATGCCGCTTGGACGCTCTCTTGTATCAATACATGATGCTTACTATGAGCGATAAAGAGCTAAACTTTAATTACTTCTCGGAGAATATTGATGTTGTCGTCCTGGTCCCCGCTGGGCTCGGCCCCGTGGTCAACCCCATGGACGCCGTCCTGGTGGAGTTCTCGCCGACGGTGTGGCTGGGCACGGCGCTGGCCTCGCTGTTCACCGCGGCCGCCCTGGCCTGCACCCTGCGCCGGGACCGCGGCGCGGCGCTGCTGCTGGCCCTGGCGCCCCTGCTGGGTCAGGCCCCGGGGACGCCCCCGCCCGCGGGCCGCGCGCTGCGGCCGCTGCTCGGCGTGTGGCTGCTCGTGTGCGTCGTGCTGGTGGCCGCCTACCAGGGGCTGCTGCTGGGCAAGCTGTCCACGGCGCAGCCTCGCGGGGAGATCAACAGCCTGCAGGACCTGGAGGCCAGCGGGCTGCCCGTCTACGCCAAATGGGACGCATTCCAACGGGTCAACGACATACTCCCAGACGTCACGCGCAAACGGATGCATGTAATACACAAGGCGAATGATCGCAAGTTAATTTACGAACACGTTGTGCGCGATCGAAAATCCGCCATTGTTATGTTTCTGACCCCCACTGTTAAGCGACTCGTGAAAACCTGGCTAGTGCCGACGAAGATGCTGCATTATTTCCCGGTTGACCATTTGAACGTCGTTGTGATGGGCATGTGGACTCGTGGGTCCCCTCTCGGCCCGGTAGTGACCAAGGTCACCAGACGCGCAGAGCAGGCGGGCCTTCACATTCACCAC